CCCCGAATTGCCGCCTTAGATTTAGTTACTTAGGGTTAGAGTGTCCACGAATCCCCGGGGAAAACGACCGGGAAAGACTAGCCGCGATAGTTAGGGTATTCGGAAAAATTAATTCGAATTAATTCCCCCATTCGAATTTGAATGGGGAGAAATTAGCGCGCTAGGACAGTTAGTGCCACCGCGCTTAATCCACCGGAACTAACGTCCCGGTGAGGCATGAGTTCCGCCATTTTTGGCAGTTATCGCCTGGACACACGAACCACAGGACGTTTTTCCCCAGAGCGCCCAAAAGGAGAGAAGAGGACAATGGGAGGATCCCATCCAGCTCGCAAATCGCGTGGGAAGGTGAGGAAAATTCTTTAATTCATCCCAGTAACACCGGTTACTGGAGATCGCGTATTTAATTCGGTTCGCGAGTGAATTTATCCTGTTCGATCAACGGATCGAACAGCGTTTCCCTCCGTGGAGCTGTCGCGAGTGTTTCTCAGCCATGGTTTTATCCGAAAACCACGGCTGATCGCGTGTGGGGAAATTATTCATCCCACAGGGCCGTCCCTGTGGAGGTTTAGAGTCATATGGCGCGAGAAAACGTGCGAAAATCCCGGGGGAAACCGTCGAAAACCCCCGTGGAAGCGTGAGGAATTTACTCGGGTAACCTTGAGGGGTGTCCATGCCGTCGAGGCTGCGAGTATTTCCCCCACTCCGCTCCGCTCAACGTTGAGCGTGAATTCCAGCACAACGGTGCTGAGAAAAATCCCGTTTTTCTAAAACGGAGATATCGCGATCCCCTTACGTGGTGGAGTTCCCCAATTTTGGGAGAATGTCCACGATCATTCCCCCTCGCTGGTGGAGTTTATCCGATGCCGATCGGTGGAGGCATCGAGGCGTTGCGGATTTTTATCCGTCGGAAAATTCTTATGCACGCGTACCGTATCCATTGGGCGTAGCGCGATCTCTCTCGCACATTATCTTCCATCTCTCTCTCGCTCTCACATAACGCCTCTTCCAGGCTCGCCGAGAGTTTTCTCGGTGATAGAAAATTAATAAATAATCAATGTAACTCATTTTGTTTTGGGGATTAATCCCGGACCTCGCCCGAGGGCCCGCGGAAGTACGTGTAGTCGAATTTCTATAATTCATCCACGGGGAGAATTTATTATGAGCCCTTCTAGGGGGCCCTAGTTTTTTGGGGAAATCCCGAGCCTCTCCTGAGGACTCGTGGAATTATGGGGAGATTTTCAATGGGAAAATTTGGCAATAAACTGTATCTACAGGGTCCCGAATTTTCGGAGAAATCCCGAGCACCCTCCGGGGCCTCGCGGACTTAGCTGGGGTCACCTTTTCTATTTTTTTTCTACTTTTCGTTTTTTGAAATTATCCCCGCCACGGCGGGTGAAAGCAATACCGTTGGCTTCTGTCAACCGGGGAATTTCCGACACTCGTGTTCGGGTTCGCTTTAATAAAAATTTAGTTAATGTTGGAAAAGTTAATACGGTCTTAAAAAATTAGTTACTTGAACATTTTCGCCCTTTTCCCCGAATCCACCCCTCTCTCCACAGCCTAGCATACTGAGCAGCGCAGGCATCCGTTACCTCTCCCTCAACCCCCTTGCTGAATTAGATATAAGTACGGGTTAGTGATACGTTTTTCGGTTTTAATCTAGATTTTAGTTTTCGAGTTGCTCATTTCTCGATCAGAAAAATTAGCTGGCGCCCGGCAACCTTTTTGTAGGTCCCGATTTTGGTTAAGTTGAGTATCGGCGAGAAGGCCAGAGGGAGGAAGGGCGAAGGTGATGGGCATTTTCGGTCGATTGGAAAATGTCACGTTACAAATTAAAATAAAATTGTTCCACAACAATTATAATTGACTTAAAAAAAAAAAAAAAAAAAAAAAAAAAAAATACAGTTTAGTGTGTGAACTTTTAATTAGCATTATATTAATATTTAATTCAATTTAATTATTATTAATAGTTCATTGATTTTAAGTTGAAATAGTGCAGAAGTGATAATGGAACTCGCATTCATTAATAATAAATCGCGTTATTATTTATTATTTATTCTATAAGAAATTATGCGAGTCGGGAATTTTGAAGAGAAATTCTATAATGTATTATTATTCTATTATTTGAGATTGGCACGTGAGCGCCCGAACGAGGCAAAAGCCGCGTGATATCGTGCGTGAATAAAATCCGAAAAAATCGAAAGTACAAACGAATACCGAGCAAAAAAGTGGAGGAAAAGGGAAGTTAAGGGCAAAGAGCAGGAAGAACTAGTACGGACAAGCTGAAAAATAAATTAAACGAAGAAAATAGTGGAAAAGTGGGCTGATAACTTTAAGGTTAAAAAGTCAGAGAGTGAGAGGATAGAGAGCGAGAAAAGAACAGAAGACATGGGAGGGAAGAGAGGGCAGACACTAAAAGAAGAGAGCGCCAACATAACAGGCGGGCAAGCAACGAAGGACACACCGGGGACTGAAAAGGTAAAGAAGAGAGGGCGCCCACCAGGTAAAACAGATGAAACAAAAAAGAGGCTAGGTCACGAAGGGAAAGAGGGGGAACTGTCAAAGGGAGAGACACGAAATGCGAGGAAAAACCAGGCGAAAAATTTAGAGGCATATTTTAATAAAACTGGACAGGAGGAAGACCAGGGAAAGGGACAAACCCAACCCCCAAGCACAAATAATGGGGTGGAAGAAAAGGGGGAGGAAATGACAGGAAAAGGAATGACAGAAAAAGAGGAAAATATACAAACAACAGAAAGGAGAGAGGCTAGGAATCAGGAAGAAGAGGATGGAAAAAAGCTACAGGAGGAGGCAATCCCAGTAGGGGGAAAGAAAAAAATCCCAAGAACACCAGAAGGGCAGTCACCGCTGAGCCTGAAGCTGAACAGAAACCCAGGGAGGACCCAGACCGACGGCGGAGCACCCACAGCAACCCAAACGGAGGAACCGTGGAGAATCAGAGGAGATGAGGACGAGGACGACCCAGAGGAACACTCGACCTTAAACCCAAACACAGAATGCGTAAGAAGGACACTCCTCACAACGCCCACATCGCCCAGCTCTACATGGGCTGGCTCCCTTGTAAATACAACTCCTTCCCCCAGAAGGGGCGACGAGGGCGAGGAGGAGGAGGGGGAGGATCAACAACGGAAACAGATAGACGAGAACCTGGCAAAAAAGATAGCACAAGACGTGGCAAGGAAAATTGGCGAAGAAAGAGGAGGAGATGAAGAGAGTATGGAAGCAACTCCCCGACGTGTAAGACGAGAACAAGAAGCTCGAGCGACAGTTGGCAAGCAATCAGAAACGGCTGGAAGAATGGGTGGAATTTGCGAGAGAGTGGAAAAGAAAGTATGAGAAATTGAGTAGCATGGTGAGAGAAGAGGCCAGGGAAAACTGGATCATCCCACAGGCCCGGGAGATCACACCAGGAACGCCAGAAAGGGGATACTCAAGAACAGACACAGAGAGGGAAACAGAAAGAGAGATCCCCCAGAGCGAAAATGAGGAGGCAGTGACACAAATAGGCGAGGAGGGGGAAGTAACGGCAGTGGAACCCGATCGATCGGAAGCAGCGAGGACCCTGGCACATGGTGCTCCAGCGCCTGGAGGGTCGGGGGTCGCTGCGGAAGTCGAGAGGAGACACAAGCCACAGAACCCCCAGAAGACGGAAACAAGGAAGATCGCGAAAAACCCTACCCCTAGGAAATTGGAGGAAGAGGAATGGTTCGCTGAAAAGATGAAAAGAAGGGAGAGAAAGAAGGGGATCATAATTAAAGGACTCACATTGATAGAAAGGAGGAAAAAAGAAGAGTTAGAACGATGGATGGAGGAGACAATGGGAGTGAAGGCTAGAATCTCCAAGTTGGACAGAATAGGCGACGGATCTTGGAAAGCAGAACTCGAAGAATGGGAGACAAAAGTGGAGATAATGGCGAGGAAGCAGGAACTGAAGAGACTCAGGTGGGGAGTTTGGATAACAGATGACCACACGGATAGACAAAAAGAAGTCCAAACATGGATAGAGAGGGAGGGAGAAAACTGGAGAAAGATGGGACATGAGGTGAGCACAAAATATCAAAAGATATGTGTAGATGACACGTGGTTATGCTGGGATGAAATTGAAGGAACAATGAAGCTGGAAAAGAAGAAGGCAGACGAAAGATATAGAGAATAGGAAGAGGAGGCGGAACAGGGGAGGTACTCGCCTCCACCACAGCTACCATTTCGCGGGAGAGGCAGAGGAAGAGGACAGCTCCCATGAGCTGGTGCTGCTTCACTGGAACACCCGGGGGGCTAGTAACATAAAGAAGAATGAGAAGATGTGGCAAGATGCGGACATAGCGGTGTTCCAAGAGACGTTCCTAGAGGGAAAAGAACTGGAAAGAACAATCAATAGCCTGAACAAGAATTACACGTGGAAAGGTAAGGAGGCCACTAGGAAGCACGTTAAAGGCAGAGCGCAAGGAGGACATCTAATAGGGATAAAAAGGAACCTAGGCGATAAATGGAAGATAAAAGAATGGGAATACGGACTACAAGTGCAGATAGAGAACGAGAGAGCACCAGAACACAGCTACACAGTGATTTCAGGATATAACAATCATCCCCCGAAGATGAAAAATTTTCTCAAGGAAGTAGATAAAGAGATAGAAGAACTGGGAGGCGAGCCAGCCAGGCTCATACTGGTTGAAGACCTAAATGCCAGAATTGGCGAGGAGCAGGGGGTGGCAGAATGCGGGCAGGAGGATACAGGGGAAGCATACCCACATCGACAATCAGAGGACAAGAAACTAAGAGAACCAAATGGGACGGCATTCCTCAGGTGGTGTGAAACGAGGTCAATGCTCATAATGAATGGCAGAGCAAAAGGAGATAGACAGGGCAAGATCACAGCGATATCAGAAGGAGAAGGATTAGGAAGCGTGCTAGACTACGTAGTAACGAGGACCGAAGACCAAGGGCTAACGCCGGAATGGTTCAAAGGCATGAATATAGCAGCACAGGAAGGGTCTGACCACCTCCCGGTCTTCTACAGAGTTGAGTGGAGGACAGAGAGGGCGGAAAGACAAGGGGACAGAAAAGCCGGGAAAAAGACGAAACTGAGATGGAAACAGAGAAAAGCGGCCGACTTTCAGAAAGAATGGGAAGAGCGATGGCAAAACAAATACACACAAGAGGAGCTTCAACCGGAAGAGAAGTGGGCACGCATTGTGGAAACGATAGAAGAAGCAGCACGAAAAGTAGGGATGACATCTACAGGAAGACCAGTAGCAAGAATAGAGGAGACCTGGGATAAACATGGAGAATACAGAACTATGAGAAGAAAACTCTTCAAGAAGCTCAACAGATTTAGAAAAATCCAGGACTGGAAAAACAAATCCGAATACATAACGTGCAGGAAGGAGGTAGCGGCACTGAGAGAGAAGCTGATTAAGAGATGGCTAGAGGAAAAACAGGAAGAAGTAAGGGCAAGCAAGAATTTGACAGAGTGGTGGAAAGCAATGTCATGGTACAGGAAGAAGAAGAGGGCAATACTGGCAGGTAAAATAACGAAAGAAAAACTATTAAGCCACTTCTGCACATTGCTAGAAGGGGAATTAGACAGGATGGGACAAAAGGAAAATGACAATGAAGAGCAGGAATCCTTAGCGGAAACGCCCAGAGGAATAGAAATGGAAGAGAGAGCAGAGGGAGAAAAAGAGGAGATGAAGAAGACTCAAGACGAAAAAGAAGAGGCGAAAAGTAGGAAACACGAAATTCAAGGCAGACACACACCGGCAGACCGAAACGACCGGGATGAGGAGGGAGAGACAACCGAGGAAACAGCGGGAAGCAATGAGCTAGATAGACCGCTAACACAAAATGAAATAGCGATGGCAATGAGGCGGCTAAAAAAAGGAAAGGCAGCAGGCGAGGACGAATTAACAGCAGAATTTATAGTAGGAATGCCGAAAGAAGGGAGGCTAGAGTTGATACAACTAATCCAAGACATCTGGCGAAGAAGGCAAATGATAGGGAGATGGAGGATGGCAACTATACTCCCAATATTTAAATTGAAAGGCGACGAGAATGAGGCTAGCAACTACAGGGGGATCTCACTGTTAGATATAGGATACAAAATACTTGCGAGCATAATGGCATCGAGACTAAGCAGCTGGCTAGAGAAAGAGGGGAAATTAACTGAAGCACAAGCAGGATTCAGACCAGGAAGAGGAACGACGGAAGCGGTGTTCATACTGAACACGCTGATAGGCAACAAACTGCAGCAGAAGAGAGGCAAATTACACGTGGCATTCATAGGCTACAAGGCAGCCTTCGACAAGGTGAACAGGGAAAGGCTATGGAAGAAAATGGAACAAATGGGAATCAGTGGAAGATTCCTGGAAATGACGAAGGAAATATATTCGGGCACAAAAAACGAAGTGCTAGCAGGGCAAGAGAAGACAGAAGCATTCATTACAAATAAAGGGGTGAGGCAGGGGTGCCCACTTAGCCCGATCCTCTTCAATATATATATAAATGACCTCGAACCAGAACTGAGGAAAAGAGGGGACGGCGGCACAGGGATAGGACCAGGCTCGAACACGAAGATCTTCGCGCTACTATACGCAGACGACGCAGCCCTGATAGCAGAAGAGGGAAAAGAAATGCAAAAGATGCTAGACAACCTAGAGAAATGGTCAGACACAAATCTGATGGAGGTAAGCGTAGAGAAGACCAAAATTATGGTATTTAGAAATGGAGGCAAAAGGAAAAAGGAAGATTGGACCTACAAGGAACAGATGATAAAGGTGGTAAATGAATTTAAATATCTAGGATTTTGGTTCATACCTACAAACAGATACACAAGGCACACAGAGAAGGCGGCAGGCAAAACACAACAACTGATAAATAAAGTCTGGGGCGAAACCAGAAGAGCAGGGGTCACGAATCTGAAACGAAGAATGTATTTTATGGACTCAACTGTGAAGGCGGTGGCAATGTATGGAGCAGAATTATGGGGCTGGGAGAGAAGAGAAGCTATAGAAAAAGTCCAGAGCAGATATGTTAAGTCCTGTATGGGACTGACAAGAAATACACCAGGATATATCTGGAGGCTGGAATCAAACAAACGAAGTTTAGAGATAGAGGCAAAGAGAAGAGCAGGAACGTTCCTATTAAAATTAAGCTCGATGGAAGAGAACCGGTGGCCAAAGAAATGTCTAAAAGAAGAACTGAGAAACATAATAAATGGGAAACCAACCAGATGGGGCAAAACCCTAAAGGAAGCAACAGAAAAAGTAGGGGACGAGCAAATTATTAAATGGCTGTATGAAGGAAGAGAGCTAGGAGAGGCTGAAGAAAGACTGACCGAGATGGAATGGATTGCCACAGACCAAGAAATACAAGCCGATTGGGAGAAAGCAGACTGCTCAAAATACTGCACCTACTACGTACAAATTAAAGAAGAACCAAAGATAGAAGACTACTGGCACAGAACCAAAGTAAAATCGGGACAAAAAGAGGCGTGGGCAGGATGGAGATGCGGGAATGCAATTAGAGAAGGAAAAGAAAAATTTATGAACACAAACTGTCGGGCATGCAAAGAAACGAACGAATCACTAGAACATGCCATTAGCTGTGAGCTGGTAATGAGAAGACTGACAACAGAGGATAGAGAATGGTGGAAAAGGTGGAGAGGAGACATGGATCCGAACAGATGGAGAATGAAGCTGATAAACGCCCTGAGAATGGAGATGGACGTAAGGCTCTGTCTGAGGTTGGATAGAATAGAGAAGGTATTGAGGGACAATGGCGAGAATAATTCCTGGGAGGATCAGGACAGAAAAGGATGAAAATGAAAACGGAAACAAGGCACAGCCTGTGATAAGACAACATAGGAGCTGGAACTCGAAAGCTAAATCTGAATAGAAGACATATATATGACATGTTTTATTATTGATCTTTGCTATTTATTTTATCTCTGTTAACCAAATTAGACGTAAGAAAATGAAACTTAATGGATGAGAGAAGATGGCCTGTGTAGATGTAAAACTAGAAAAGTAACATCAAGGAAATAAAGTATTCTATTCTATAATTGACTAAATTCCGAATAATAATTAAATTAAATTTGCTTGACAACAATTATAAATATTTAAATTCCGACTACTAATTAATTTAAATTTGTTCGACAACAATTATAATTAACTGAATTCCGGATAATAATTAAATTAAATTGTTCGACAACAATTATAATTAACTAAATTCCGAATAATAATTAAAATAAAATTGTTCGACAACAATTGTAATTAACTGAATTCCGAATAATAATTAAATTAAATTTGCTTGACAACAATTATAAATATTTAAATTCT